AAGGATAAGAAAGGATGGAGAACAGGCCCAGGAGTGTTTGGTTGACCCAGGTCATGTAACAAAACCCCCGGCAGCTCCACACTGCCAGCGCAGGGCAGCTCTGCCCTGCAAACGACTCTTCTCATTCCTCTGCTGCCGAAGGCAGAGGTGGGTGTGATGAGAGCAGGAGTCTGCTTGCTGCATCTGTAGCCTTCAGCCTATCTCTTGAGGATGAGGAGGAGCTGTGTGTGATAGGGAGAGGGAGCAGCAGCAGGACCAAAGATTTGAGTCTGGGCTGTAGAAGTACTTTCCCTGGGACAGTTCCTTAAACAAAACCATCCTGGACCCCGCAACCCCTCTGCAGGCCAGCCCAGGCCAGGGAAGCTGTGATGATCCTCCTGCAGACTCTGGGCAGACTTTAAAGTCTAGAGTAGAGTAGCTCTGCAACCATGCAGGGCTCCAAAAAATATATAGTTTGCTTTTGTACTATTAGCCTTTTCTGCTCTGGCCCATGTCCTGGCTAATTACATCCCCCTCATGCTCAGGTCCTCCAGTTGGGACATCAGTCCAGAGCAGTAGCCCAGGTAAGACTGACTGAGACAGCTCGGATGGCGAGCTGTAGCAGGCAACTTTTTCTAGAAACTTTTGGGGTTTTTTTGAGGCTTTATTTGGGCTTTTTGGCCATGCCCCTTCTTTCTTCTCTTGCTCTCTCTGTGACCGTGCAGTCAGGACAGCTTTTCTGCCTTGGGGCATTGCAGCACCTCAAGTGCTTGTGGAGATGGACACTGAGTCTCACAAGAGTTTGCCCAGGAGGGTGATTTATTTGAACAGCAAACGGCATGGATTGAATTTCCAATGTTGTTTATCACTCTCAAGTGTAAATCAGTCAAAATGGTAGTTAATTGAGTTAAATTCGAGTAACAACCTTACAGATGCTTTGCTGCTGCACAGTGAGGTGCTGTTTGCTGAGGATTGCTCTTTGCTGCAAGTTAGCTGCTCAGAGACATTCACTGACATTTCAAGTAGCACGTTCTAGCTCAAATTTGCTCCTGCATGGCCCAGCAATGCTGCTCATCTGGTGCATGTTCACCTGCTAGAGCTCATCATACAGGATCCATTTGAAACCTTCCCCCTAGCATCTGGGTGCCTATGATAGATTTACACCAGGAAACAAAAAAACACCTCTCCCTGTGTGCAAGAGCAACCCTCTTGCACTGCTGAGGAGTTCTTGTGAATGTGCCTCCAGATAAATGTGTATGAGATGTAGCCTCACTACTTGCAAACAACACTAGTTTATGCTTACCAGCTTCTGCTGCCTTTTTTTTTTCACTTTTTAAAATTAATTTGCTCCTATACAACTTTTCTCTCCAGAGAAATGGAAAGAAAGAGATATAGTGACAGCAACGTAGGGCTGCAATAATGGAAGGCAGTGTTGAGCAGGTCTGTGATTAGAGGAAGGCTGGTCCTCTGCAAGAGGAATTTGCAAGACATGAAGTGTTTATTATTTTAATCCTTTGCATCCCTTTGTCAATACCTTGCTCTCCTCCTGAGCTGAGAGGTTATGAATGCATCAGACAGGCAGGAGGACAAATTCCCACATGTCGTATCTCAGTCAGGCCAGGAAAGCTCTCTGCTTTTTGATGGGATGCCTCTTTATCTGCCTGGTGTCTGAAGCCTGTGGGAAGACTGATGGTCCCATTGGCCATGTCATGCTGGTGCGTATCAAGAATATCTTCATATGTTTTATGTCCCAGACTAAGGTGACCCCTTTGCCTGCAGCTCAGAGCTGGAGTAGGGATGTGTCCCATGGCTGTGACCAGGAATATAAAGGGACAGGTGAGAACAGGCTAAGGAAAGAGGCAGCTAAGAGGTATTGCATAGTACTGGGAACATTCAGCGTCAAGTTGGACGGGGCTTTGAGCAACCTGGTCTAGTTGAAGATGTCCCTGCTTATTGCAGGGGAGTTGGACTAGATGACCTTTAACGGTCCCTTCTAACCCAAACTGTTCTATCATTCTATGTAGCTGGAGATGAGGAAAACTGTTGCCATTTTGGATTGCATGATGTACTCCAAGTAAATGAAATCTCTTTTCAGTGGTGCTTGTAGTCCTCAGTTACTTGTTTTTTTGTAATTCATTACGTCTTTTCTCATGCTTCTATTGGTTGCTTCAGGCAGTGTCCTCAGGCTGCAGATGCTACAGATGATACTCAATTTGTTTTTTTGTAATAGGAGAGAAAGCTTAGCACCTTTTGAATGTTGGGAATCAGATACCGATTTGGAGATATCCTTCGATTTAGAGATGTCCTTTGTGGGCTGCACTGAGATGGAGGCTTGCAGTTGTCACAGACAGGGCTGTGTAAAGTGTGCTGCCAGTGCCACAGCCTCCTCCCACCGCAGTGTGGCAGAACGGCCCTTCTGAGCTAGGGCAGCAGAGCTCTGTCATGGGCACCGCTGGCAGAATCGCTCTGTATGCTGACTCTCCTGATGCTTGTTTCAAAATTAGGACTCCTGTTCTAGGAGTTCCTCAATCTGTGGTGCTATGTCTGATCTGCTGTAAGAGAACACACATAGACATAGCTTAATTGTATCTGTCATTCCCCTTGCAAAGTTTTCAATGCTTTGTCATACTTATTTTTCTTTGCAGCACCCTTGTGAGATCAGTTTGTATTGCCGTCTTAATTTTTAAGAACGGGGAACTGAGCCATGCTAAGATTATTTATTTATTTATTCATTGATCGGATTCAAAGCTAAGAGCAAACCTCTGACAAAAATTTTAACTGCAAGTATCAATCACTTATATTTGGCCTATGTAATGTAATTTAATTCTCTTATAATAAAGTTAGTTCTTGTCATAAGTGGAGATGTTGGTTTATTTATGTTTGGGGTTTTTTTGCTAACATACATTATCATAATCACAGAATCACGGAATGTTGGGGATTGGAAGGGACCTCAAAGGATCATCTAGTCCAATCCCCCTGCCGGAGCAGGACCACCTAGATCAGATCAACAGAATCACAGAATGTTAGGGATTGGAAGGGACCTCAAAGGATCATCTAGTCCAATCCCCTTACACTCCAGTTTTACTGTAAATGTCTCTGTCAAGAAGTCTCTTGGGGCAGCTCTGGAATTCCTGCGTGGAACACACTTACAAAGTTCCACCCAATGTGCAGCTTCCAGTTGTAGAATAGATGGACCTTGATTGGGATAATAAATTACTGTAGTGAAACTGTTCATGCAAGAACTTTGGATATTTCACTGTGTCATGTTTTCATAGAAGCCTTCTGAATAATGTTCAGATATTAGTAATGCAATAGTAATACTACTAAACATGCTAATAATTCACATAATGCTAATAATATTATACATTTCCTCTATGTTCCTGCTACAGAAGGGTTTTGTACGACATAAAAATAAGCAGCACTTAAAAGAAGCCATGATATATTCATTCTATTTGTGGTGTGAATCAGTGTGGTGGTATTATGCAATCCACCTCAAAAAGTATTTAAGAAAAGGATGGCAGGAAAGAAAGAGTTAAGTGTGGGAGTGGTGAAGTAGTGGTAATATTTTTTGACTTTTGAAATTGGAGAGAATGGGCCACCAAGAAGGTTTTGATAGCATAGAACAGCTGTTACTTCAGATCTGACTGAACTGGGTTACCTTCATTTTATTTAGAGTGTCATTAGTTGTCATTTGATAAATACGTATCTGTCATCCTTCAGTTGCTGGAGAAGTTGTTTCTAGATTTTTTTACTTCTCTCTCTTCATGTCTATTCCTCTCTGAAGGGAGATGGGGCTAGGTGGGAGAGCAACAGGAAGAAAAGAGGATGAAAGAGGGTCTTTTGGCTCTCCCTTTTTTTCGTGGCTGAGTCTCTCTGACTAGCAGCAAATGAGGCAGGCCTGAGTCTGTCAGCTTTGTCTCCTGCTGTTTATGAAAACTGAGCATCTGGAAAGGAGCAGAGGTGCTTTCTCTTTATGCTCAGGAAGATTTTTGGTCTGGGTTTACAGTCGCAGAGTTGCGTTTGCCTAAGCAGAGCAGTGGGTTTTTTAGTGGTTCACTATCCTCTATCTTTTTTTAAACAAACTCCACAGAATACTTTCACCTGAGACCAGTGTTATACCTCAAATTAAGCCTAAGGTATGGTCATGAGGTTCTTGTCTTCACATGAAATAGAAAATGGCAGTGGTCATAGTGTTGATGATTTTTTTTGCCTGGATAGTATATGTTTAAGGTTATTGGCACTCATCTCTCTCAAGAGTACATCGTATAAATTTGTAAATATATCATATGCTGTAAGTATCTTCCGTGTTGGTGGAGGTTGGTGCCAGAGTATTTTTCATAGTACTGCCCACATCCGCCTTTGTGGGTTTTATTAAACAATTGGGCCGCTCAAGCTTTTTAAGAGGGTTTTGTAGTCAGAATGTTTTGAGACAGGCTTGAAACCAGTTAATCGAAATAGTATTTCTCTTTTCTGCTATTTTCTTTGTGCTTTATGTGTTTTTTCTCTTTAGCTTACTGCTGTTCAGAGGCAAAAGAAATTTCCTTGGCCTGTCCTGAGTAGTGTGGAAATTTATGTAGCCATTGATCTAGTCAGAAGATAATTACTTAAATTCTTATTATGTCACCTTTTCAGAAGATACTGTGAAGATCAACAGCAGGATTCAGCTCTCCCTTGTGTCCGTCTCTGCTAGTACAAGTGTTAATAATGGCATGAAAATAGAGGTTAACACTTAAAGAAAAATGTTCCCTCTTTTCCATAGTCTTTCTATGTTGTAGACATAGTCTTTCTGTTGTAATTTCTTGCCAACTGCATAGCTCCTGTGTTGGAATAACAAAAACAATGGTTGTCTTATTGGTTTTAAATGTCTGTGCATTAATGCATTTCCAGATTAGACAGAATTAGTATTCCTTTTCTTCTAAACTAAATTGTTTTTTCTTCTCTGTTCCCACTTCTCCAATCTTTCTTCCACTCCCATCCTTCCCCTGCCCCTATTTTCCCTCTAAAAATATCTTTAGGAATGACTTGCTGATGGTGTGCCGCCAGCTGAATATGGAGGAGTCTGTCGCGGAGATCATGCACCAGCTGGGAGCAGATGAAAATGGAAAAATTTCCTTCCAGGATTTTAGTCAGTGCCGCATGGAACTGGTACGAGAAATCAGGAAGGAGGAAGTGGAGCTTTCTGTGAAATCGGATGACTCTTGTAAAAAGAAAAAGTTAAGGGATAGGATAGCTTCCTGGCCAACTAGCAGCAATAACAGTTTAGGTAGGTATGACTTTTAAATGTCCTGTTGGTGTAACTTAACAAAAGATAAACTCTGGGGATTTCGTTACCAGTTTTACTGGCATTGGGATTTCCCCTAAAGGGCTTTGTGAATATGCTTTGGCACAACTTCGTCATATATTGGAGTGCTGTTGTAACTGATGCAGTCTGGTCATTGGTATGTAGAGTAGAATGTGTGCAGAACTTCCTCTTCTGAAAACTCTAGTTGCACAAGACAATGATCTTTCTTGAAAGGACAAGAGCTGTGGAGGTGAGCTGGTAACTGAAGATCCAGAGAGCTCTTTGTTGTCTGTAAATCCCAGACAGATAGGTAGGTAGAAATGTTAAAAACAAGGAGAGAAATCTTAGTCTTTGGTCTTTCAGATGCAATATACTGTAGGAATGTGGATGTTTCTTTGATGCTTTAAAAATCATTCTACTTAGTTGAGGGTCTGAGTGCTGGAAGTGCCTTGTGATTTAGAGAATACAGAAATTCTCTTTCCTTTTGCCCTCCCTCCACCCAGGGAGAAAAAGCAAACAAACAAAAATCCAAGCAAACCAAAAAACCTTGCTATGCCACCTGTAGGAACATGAGATGTAGAAGGGATTGTCTGTGTCATTGAGTTCAGTCCTTTATTGCACTGTGATCAATCGGCATTAGATCAGAAACATTAACACCTACAAAATGCTTCCTTTCACCCTGTAACAGATGCAAGAGACCAGCTGCATACTAGCTAAAGGTGACTGCTGGCCCATAATCTGGAACTGACCTACAGCCAAGCTTCAGAAGGTGGCCATCATCCTCTGATTGTACTTAGAGCTGTGTCCCCTCAACCTTTGTTAGGACTACATGAGCTAGATTTTTTTAAAATACTTTTTTAATGAGAGATCCTTCATTAGTCATCTCAATAGTCTTTCTTTGCATGTGTCCTAAATCAAGTTAGGAATATTTTTTACAGTCAGATATATTTTGTACATCTTCCTGGAAAATCTGAATTCTAGCTCCTCATGTAACTGACCTGTTGTCAGAGGCCAGTTCTCTCTGACCAGGTTCTTTTAGATATTCCACGCATGGAGGGTGACTTGTTTAACATTAGATTTACTTATTTGCAGATAGTTGATGTTACACAGGATTTCTGGTTTAGCAGAGTAATACGAGACATACTGAAAATGCAATGCAAATCTAAGTTACACGTATCAGAATATAGCAATTACAATATACGGTTCAATCACAGTATCAACGTGATTCCGTGTCTCTTTAGTATGCTCACCATCACGACACTGGGCATCCCCAGTCTCGCTGGGAAAACATATGGGTTGAAGCCTGCTCAAGCCCGATTGCTCTCTTTTAAATTATTTTGTTTAATTTTAAATTATTTATGTTTTTATAGTCTGTGTGTTGCGCTGAGCCACGTTTACACCTCCCGCAAGTTGCCCTGGCTAACTCAGGGAGACATTCCAAACACAGGAAGAAACACACCACCAGCTGATTCACTCAGCTGTTGATAGCTGTTTATCTAAAACAAAGACCACCCTTGGGTCTGCTTGCGTCAGCTTCTTTGCAGCAGCTGTGGTCAGTAAAACCCTGCATTACTTCCTGAGCTTCATGGGCATGTTGCCCTGACCCATCTCTGCTGAGCCTTCTTCTGTGGTAGGGTTTTACTGGTCATTCACACCTGTATGTTTTCAGTAGTCAGTCTCCTAGAATGTAAAACTGGGCATTTGCATTTGGTTTGGGGATTTGTTTTTGTGTTTGGGATCTATTTATGTATTTTGGAAGTGGATGGGTTTAGCATGTTGTTCTGTTTTCTGGTGACTCTGCACATGTTTTTGGCTGGTCATCTCAAGCGTTCAAGTTTTCCTTGTTTGCTTCGTATCCTTGGTGAATTCTTTGCCTTCTTGCTTTTTAGATTGACTGCACCTCTCCCTCACCATCCCATCATCTCATGCTCATTGGCTTTTCTTTTGGCTTCTCAGCATAGCAAATCCATTTCATAGCTGTGTGTATTCTCTATCTCATCTCTTTTAGTGCTTCATAGTCTCATTTTGTTGTAGAGGTGTTTTGTTGTTAACATTTCCTCTGTTTATCCTTCTTCCATATATATTCTTGAATTGCAAGACAATTAATTCCATAGTTTCTACACTTGTGTCTCTATTACTGTCTATACTGAATATTCATAGTCTTTGGGCTCAATTGCATTTCCAGCCCATGAATCTCTTTCAGGAGCTGTATCAGACAATAGTTAAAACCAAGATTGTGACTAATATCTTTTTTATTGGGTTAAGGATGGTGTGTGTTCCCTAGCTCATAAAATTATCTTCTGCCTCTGATGGCTGTTTTTTCAATGCTGCCACTGTTGTATTTTTCTGCAAAATAGAAAACTACTTCTGCCCTCAGACTGCTATACAAAGTTTCCGTGCTTGCTGACCAGATTTCTGGCAACTTGGGTTTTAAAATCTTCTTTCTTAGGCAAACAGCGTAATAATTATGGTTTGTAATAGTCAAGGGTAAAAGATAGATCCTAAGCTTTACAGGAGAAAGGTCTGCATTACAGTCTCAAAATGTATCCCAGAAAGAAATCTTATTAATCGCTGCCAAAAAATCATCATAGATGAACATTGATGAACATTCAAATTTGTTAATATAATAATAATCCAATCCTTACTTTTTTTCCTGTTTTCCAATTTGTTAGTTGTACAAGAGTAATTTAATGCATATTTAAAGTTGGTGAATGAATTTTTATTTCTTTTCATAATGATTTTTTTTTCAAAAGTTGAGTTAAGTGCAGAAGACCTTTGAATTTCCTGACTTGGTATATTTTGCTCTGTGCTGATGATTACTGTACTGTGTTTTTACACCTATAGGGAACTCATAGTTTTTGTACTGCATTGACTCTTGCAAATTCTGTAAGACTCTTTAATAATTAGGGAACATATGGAGATGCTTCTCCACGTAAACAAAAAACAGAATGGGAGGAAATAATAATAATAATGAGCATTTAGAATGCAACTGGTTTTCATTTGTTTGTAAAAGAAAACCATTCTGGCAGCACTATTCAAGATGTTCTACAGATCTTTTTAAAGAGCCAAGCAAGCACCACCACTGTAATGTATTTCTGTGATATAAACACTGCACAGAGTATGAACACAATGAAAGCTGAGGAATTATACTTGCAGTCAAGCTTGAATTATGATCCACATATGCTTCCATGCCTTTCATGTCTTTGAGGGCTCACGTATGTACTCATTAGTGATCAAAGGATTGATTGTGTTATATTGACTGTTTGCTATTGCTTTCTAAACATTGTTTAAGATGGGAGACATCATCATGTGCAAATTCAAACATATAAACTTGGTGGATGTTCTTTTTTTTGTGAATCTGTTTTTTTTTTTGGACAAAGAACACTGTTTTTAATAAACATTACTTTCAAAGACAGTTTACAGGGCTTTTTTCATGTGTCAGCTGCTGATAATCCTTGAAAGCTGTTATCGTGTTGCCTTGTGGGGTGCATAAATTACAAAATTTTAAAATTCATTTGACTATCGCTGAGTAGCAGGGGTGCTGATGGTCTGAAGCAAAAGAATCCAGCCTCTATCATGGATATTTTTACACTGTAAGTTCGTATGTAATTCTGCAGACATTACCAGTTAGACAACGTTTTGTGCAGGCTTTTTCTGTAGCCGTTCACAGTTTCTTAACAAGGAGTGCAAAAATATATGCATATATCTGAATAAAATATTATCCTTGCTACCTATAATTTTTCCGTTTCATTAGAAAGAAAATAACTGGGTAAAAAGGTCCTAAAAAATTACATCATCTAAATGACTATTGAACTTTGTCTCACTCGTAATTTTTTGTCAATGATAAGGTTACTCTAATACTTTTGCACAACTTTGCCCAACAAATATTTCTACTCCTGTGTTTCCAGGTGAGATGCAGAAGTAAAGAAAGTGGTTGACCATTTTAGTCAAGGTACAGGACACAAGTTTATTAATACCTAGTCATACATGTGCTCAGCAAACCAAACGTGGATCCGTGTCTACTATCTGGGCAATCAAATGAGTGTATAGATTTAAAAGTCTAATCTTTTATTCACATGCATGAAAAATGACATTTTTCAAGTTATGAGAATGATGCTTTTCTTTGCTTGGATATCAGCAACTCAAAGCTGTTATAAGGTATTGTAGTTCTTACCCTACACTGTTAATGTTAATGGGAGCTTTAACAAAATTTGCAAGTAATAACCAGTATTTTTTCTATAAGTGAAATGGAATGTGTTAATAGTAAAGACTTGTAGAAGACTGTTTATAGTCTTCTGACATTGTTTAAAATATAATAAAAATGAATAAAATAACTTTTGAAAGTGTTGCTGGAGTCTTGCAATGACTGTGTGCTACCTGACTCTTTAATATATCATTTCAGTAGGAAATACAGGAATAGTGTCAGTTACATCAGATCTGTGGGTCCTGTTTCCAGTTGTGGAGACTGAAAGCCATGATGGGTACAATACATCTGTGTGAATCATCTAGTAGGTGATGGAAGTGGATTGCTTGGCAAATGAGAGCCTATAATACAGCAAAATGACACCTGGTGTTTTAAGGCAGGAGGTTACCTGAACAGTTGTGGCATCTGTCAGATTTTTCAGTGTTACATCATTTTATGTGTCTTATATAAAAGCTAGAATTAGAATTATTTATATTATATGTTGTATAGATTTGTTTAGCTCTTCACAGGTAACTAGCAAATCGTTACTTTTTCCATGATTAAGAATAGTCTATTTCTAGTACTTGCCGTTTTGAGGATGAGCAAGAAATACTACTGTTTATTAGTAAATTCTCTCTTTAGACAGGAGGTTTCTTGTCCCAGTGGAAGCTGCAGGTACTTATTGATCTGATTTCATGTTCTAGATAAACAGTTATGAATACCAGAGTCCATAACCAGTCTTTGGCTGTGGGTTAGTAGTTAGTAATTAATTCATAGCCAACTCCTCTGTTCACTTTAC